GGGTCCTCCGGAGGACCCGGCCTGTTGTTTTGGACACAGCCAAAATCACAGGTGTTGAATGTTTTCCTCGGGGGCGGAGCCAGAGGAGTGGCAGCCACCCCCCCTCTGGCTCCGCCCCCGAGGAAAACATTCAACACCTGTGGTTTTGGTTGCTTCATCCTTCAGCAATCTCAGAAAATATCTGAAACAAGACTGGGACAAAAACAGTTTCAAGACTTCCTAAAAAGGAAAGAAAGGAAGTAATGACAACATCTGAGAACGGTTAAAATTAGAATAGAATATTAAAAAAGTTCCGTTTTTACGAAAAGGAATGAACTCTTTGCCTTTTATGGTTAATTGATGAAGACGATGTTTGAAGTWCCTGTTTTGGCTCAGATGTCGTGTGTTCTGGATTCTTAATAAAAAGTCTGATTTGGTGTTTTTGTTGTTGTTTTTTTTTTTCAGAAATCACATCCCAGTCCCCGTCTTTGTGGATGGAACGGGAACGCAGCCGACAGAACAGAACCAGAGCATCTCGTGAGTTTTTTAAAAACGATGTCAGTCGGGGTATCCGGTCCGCTTTGTGTTCGCCTTCGCTTGCGTGAGCAATCCATCACGCTCCGACTCTTCCTGTCTTTTAAGGACAGTGAAAGCAACGAGTCTTTGTGCTGAAGTGCAGCAGGCTTCGAGGATCTGCTTCACTGTGGTTTTCTGCAACAAGTCTGTAATTATCATCACATGGCACAAACACAGGATCTCCCATTCTTCTTCCCTTTTTTTTTTTACACACGTGCATCTTTATATCCTTTCTGTGCTCTTGTGTGTGTGTGTGTGTGTGGGGGGGGGGGGGTTACATTTCATATTTTTTGCAGGCTGAGATGAGAACCTTCTGTGCATGTGTGGGTTTGAGTGTGAATTCCATTATCATAATTTACAACCAAAAAAAGCCTGAAAAATGCAGCATTGATGGTTTTGATTACCATATATTATTTGAGGTATTGGGATGAGGAGGAAAAAAAACTCCTACAAAGAGAAGAAGTGGAGCGAAGAGACGTTTTATTCGGCCTCTTCTGAGCCGGTGTAAAGATCTTTGGTGAAAACAAAAAAAAGAGAAACAGAATATCCATAATCCCACAGCAGCACCGGAGCCTGCAGGCTGGAGAGTGCGGGAATAAAAGCTCCTTCTTCCAGTCCTGGTTTTAACGCTTTTATCTTTATCGGAGAGCTGCGTGGTGAAGAATAAAAGAAAGAAAAAAAAGGTCTGATTAGATCCTGCTGAGGCTGAACAGAATCCCATCTCTGTCCCACCAAGACCACCACAGTACGGATGGAGGACAGGATCAGAAGAAATTCTTTTCTTCCAGGGGATTTTCGAACAAAACAAATCAAAGGTTGCGTTCACGCTGCAGAGGACACATGTCCTGGGAGTTTATATAAATAGAAATGACCTGAATGTTAAAAACACTGGGCCTCATGCAAGAACCGTTGGTACGCACAGATTTGTTCTTAAGTTGTGCGTACG